TTTTTTTTTTTTTTTTTTTAGCTTTTCTTAGCTATAACTAAATTTGTGTTTCAACAAAAAACAATGCGTAATTTTAAAAAATTATAACAAATTTGTAAATATATGGAAATACAATTGTAATATATATGCTGTGAGTGTGTATGTGTGTGTGTGTGTTAAGGAACAATGATAACGAAACGTAATGTTCGCCTTAGCGTAAAGCACAAATACATGCAAATTTATCTATACATATATATATATATGTTGTTATATGAACGAATCCATATATATTATATATATGTATAAATATACGCGTGTGTTTCTGTGTGTGTTTGGGTGTATTTGTGTTTTGCTCTGTATTCCACAATCAGTAGACGAAACGATTAAAATTCATGCCCAGATCATTGCCACCACAGCCACCGGCGGGCGGCGGCATGTGATCATCCTCGTCATCTCCTTCATAGCCGTTGCGCTGCATCGTCCCGTTGCCAGCCACGTTCTGCCGTTTGGCGTTACGCTTGAAGCGCTGCAGCTTCAGCTCCTCGCTGTACTCCCGATTGTCCTGTTTGACGTAGTCGCGCAGGGATCGCGGCAGCTCGTCAAGCGTGAGGGGTGGCACGAGCGGTTCCGGCACCATGGGATGCATGGGTCCATCGGGAGAGGACTCCGTGGACCGGCCGCACATCTGGTAGAAGAGGATGTAGGGCGTGTTCGGTGAGGTCAGGCTGTGCATCTCCTGCGGCTTCGAATTGGTCACCAGGCTGTCGTTGAACTTGAACCAATTCTTGGACTGATCGGCGGCAAAGGTGAAGTAGTGTCCGGAGTCCATGCTGTAGCCGGCGTGCACAACTCCGGCATAGAGATCATAGTGCACGGTGCACGTCTCCTGGAGAGAGTCGGTGGCGCAGACCTTAACAATCACCTGGAAGAGATAAGATGCGATGAGAATTCTGAGGAAAGGGAGCGAGTGAGATCCGAAGAAGAGAGAGAGAAGGGAATCTCTACTTAATGCATAAAACTCAATGGGATCTATAAAGTGTAGGAGTAGAGAATAGGAAGATAAGGAAAGCTTTAATTATTGGGAAATCCCTCAAATTAATGAAATTATATTAAGAATATTCATAATATGGAATAATTTGATAAGCATGTACAGATAATTATTATACGTATATATAGTTTTTATAGAGTTTGTGTTTTTCCAAACATCTTATCAAATTCTGATAACTGAACTAAACTATAAACCCTAAGAATTGATATGGAGCTATAGAAGTCATACAGATACCATGAGGGATCTTTATAATCTACAATAAGTTGTTTATGTACTAGAAATCTTGGAATTACTCAGTCAAAAAGGTTTCATGGTAATGCAATATGTTGACTACACTAAGGAATGGGTAATATAATAATGGAGAAACAGGGCGGAAATCTATCTACATGTGGAATATTTTCTAAATAACACCATCGTCTCTCTCTCCCTCTCTCTCTCTCTCTCTCTCTTTGTCAACTTACGCTCTCGTCGTGGAACACCTTGTGCATGAGCTTTGTGCGAAAATGATACTTCTGATCGTATTTGAATTGTTTGAGCGTTAAGATGAGATTGCGTGGGGCCTGCGTGATGCCGATGCGTCGCTCGGCATCGCAGAGTTTCTTGCAGCGTGGACAAAAGTATTGATTGTCGCCGTCGAGCTTCTCCGGCGAGCAGTAGTAGTCGATCAAATCCTGTACGGAGTAATTGGTAGCACCGCAGTCGTCCTTGTCGTCCGGAAAGGAGAGCTGCAGCTCACGGAAGCTGTCCTCGTTGCGGCTCTCCCAGGAGCAGTTCAAGCACTTGTAGGTCGTCGACAATTTGCCAGCGAAGGTCTTGTCAATGGTCGACGGCTTCTTCGGCTGGCTGGGCTGCGAGGTGGGCGTGGCCTGTGGCATAACCGCTGCACTGGATCGCTGATTGTGCACATGATCGTTGCTATTGTAGGGTATAACCCCGGCGGCGACAATTTCCGCTGTCAGAGTCGACTCCGATTCCTGTGTCTCCTTGCCAAGCTCCGGGTCCATGTGCTGAGCCGCGCCACTGTTGATCTCATGCTCATGCAGCAGATCGAGCAAGTAGCCTAGGAACTCGGAGCTGTCCTGCTGCAGTCCGGGCGTAAATCCCGGCGGTCTGGTGGCCTTTAGGACGCGACTCGGCGTCAGCTCGTAGCGCAGCGAGTGATGCATCAATGCCAGCTGCTGCTGCACCTTCAGCAGCAACAAGGAGCCGCTCTCAATAAGCAGGATTTGACGCACGAAGCTGCAGGGGGAGAGGAGATTAGAGACAGTTTATAGATGGGCTCATTTGGATGCACTTACTCGCTGGTCATGGCGAGCGCTTGAAGCACACTGTTCATGTAACAAGTATTTCCCAGATTAACGAGTCCAACGCGCGCATTCCGGGGCAAGGCGTTCTCGAAGAGCGCCCTGGCTAAGGCCACACAATTGGGCGAGGGCTCGTAGAGCTGCAGGGCGGCCTTGATGGGCGCGTAGAGCTCGTCGTTGTCGTAGAAGCGCATCATCAGCGCATTGGTGAGATCAACCAGCTTCTGTATGTAGCTGCGCAAGTCATTGGGCGTGCCGTCCTGGCCCTTCATGCAGCCAATGACAAGGGGAATCTTGGGCAGAATCTAGGAAGCGAAAGATGACGTAACATATATAAACTCCGGCCAGTGCTTATAGAAGGTCTCTTACCTTGTAGAAGATCTCCGGCGACTGATTGATTGTGGACAGCATGTGAAAAACGATGGGCGCCACCTTGAGGCGCAGTGCCGGAAAGATCATCAGTATGAACAGCGACTCAATGTTGTCCAGGGCGATCTCGTCCAGTAGCAAGTACTTCTCCTGCTCGCGCAGCCCTTGCAGCAGGGCCATGATCCACAGATTCAGATTCTGGCAAAAGTTGCAGGAGCTGATCCACTTGCAGAGCAAACCGACCGTCTTGCGTATGCTGTCATCCTGGACATTCAGATCGAGCAGCAGCTGCACCGCCTCGATGATCAGGTTCGGGCTGAACAGCTGAAAGACAATGGCCACGGCGCAGGAGGGCTCGTAGGAGGCTTGGGTGATTAGCTGATAGACAATGCGCAAGTAGAACATGAGGTAGCGCTTCTTATTGGGCAGCGCAAGGAACTGGCCCACCTTGGTGATCTCCTCCTTGAAGCGTTTCAGATCCTCCGGCTGGGTGCTCAGCTGCATGCGCGCCAGATTGAAGATGACGTGCTGGTAGATCATTAGCGTGGCCGGCTGATCGTCCGGATTGATGGCTTGCATAATACTGAGCAGGCCATTGATATCGTGCAGTTGCCGTTCGGTGGAACACGAGCTCTTGCCCGTTCCAGCAGCGGACTCTGTCTTGCTGTCCGCATCATCGTTCAGTTCATTGGCCACGTCTACTCCGCCAGCACCACAGCCACCTCCTCCTTCATCTGTTGAATTTGCTGGGCCACCGCCCACAGCTGAATTCGCCGCCGACGCCGACGCCGCTGTTGCTGCTGCAGCCGCTGCCGCTGCAACTTCTGCTGCGGTGATCTCTTGCTCCTGCTGATCCTGTGGGTTCTGCTTGACAGCCATCGCAAAGGAATTCGAGTGCAGCTGCTGTATGTGTAATCGCCTGCGCACAGGTGGCACACGCTTACGCGGACGGCGCGGCTTCTGTTTGGCACGGGCGCTGCGGCTGTTGTTGCGTGACAGTCGCCGCCTGTCCTTTAACCAGCTGCCGTTGCGAGTCGTTGTTAAAGCTTTCACCCTTTAACCCTCCCGACAGCCAAATCTCTCAACACCAACACCAACGCCAACAACAACTAACGCAAAAATAACAGTAAACAAATTGGGAGCGAGCGTCAGCCATTCAACGAGCGAAACGCGCTGTTCACAGTTGCATATGTAACGATGCGGAATCGCCTCCGCACCCGCTAGTTATAAACAACAAGATGAGTTTGCTTTGTTAGCTTGTGTTTCTTTTTTTTTCGCTCTGCGTGTTCCGTTTTTTTCCCCTTTGCTCGCACGTTTAATCGTTGAATTTCTGTGTTTTGCTCTTGCACGTTTTGTTATTTTTTTGTTTTTTCCGAGCTTAACGACAACAAAACTAAATGCTTTGGTTTTATGTTTACTATAATTTTGACTGTATATGTATTTAATAAATTCTTTGTGGAGAATTTTTCAGTTTTTGTTAATGTTGGAGTCTACTGAGTCAGTGAAAGCAAAGTTTGAGACGTTCAAGCTGCATGATGACAAATACATACTCACACACGCACACACGATGTAGCCATCGCTGTAGCCAGGGCTGAAATACTTTATTCGGCAGTTTTATATGTCTATGTCTATGCCAAAATGACGTGCATTGTTTATTGTGTATTCGTATTGGGTGCACTCAATCGATATGCTATGCGATATATATCGTATTGTCTTATCAGCTGTTTGTATAACAGGAGTGCATTGATGAGATGATAATACGTGCAAAAATTAAAAATGTATTCTGGTTTTTATTTTTAATTTGAAATTGTGTCATACTATGTCGCTTTTTAAAGCTTTTAATTGTACATTGTTATTTCATCACTTTATCGATGTTTTAATTCTGTATATCGCTGCCACATCAGCTGTGCCTGTATCGATATACCGACTATTCTATGTTTTTGATTAAATTTGTTTACCTTTTTTGTGCGTGGCTACTGCTCAAGCAACTTCGTTGCCTTTTTGTTTAAACTCAAAAAAATCTTGTGAATAATTTATTTAGAAAGTTTACAAAATGCATCCCGGAGAAATCGAAGTTAATGAAATCACCGGCATTTGGTCATTTCTAATGAGTGTAAGCTGTGCAAAGAATAATACGTGCATATGAATAAAGAAATGTGAATTGAATTGAATTTGTTCTCTTTAAGATTGATTGGAAGGATCCCTGGCTTATTGGATTAATTCTGCTGCACGTGTTAACTACTAGTACAGCTTTGCTTACACGGAATTATACAAACTTTCAAGTTTTTCTATTTCTTGTACTTTGTATGTATCGAACTATCAGAGCTCAAAGTTTATTGTGCATTCATTTCTATTTATCTTTGCAGTGTCTGTTGTTTATTTCTCTGAAAGCATTAACGAATATGCTGCAGCGAATTGGAAAACATTCTCCAAGCAACAATATTTTGATAACAACGGCCTCTTTATCTCCACCGTTTTCTCCATACCTATTTTATTAAATTGCATGCTCTTAATTGTAAATATTATGTTTTTATATATATACTATATATATGGCTGYTGATAAACGTTTCTTCTTTTTCTTTAGGGCACTTGGCTATATAATTCAACACAAATCATGGTCACCCTAAAGACTGCCCAGCTTAAGGAAAGAGCGCGAAGGGAAAACTCCGCTGCAACAACCGCGCCTATTACGCCAACTGGTACTAAAAACTTGAAGGAAGAATAGACATAAGGAATATATAGCACCATATAACAGTTGTTAAGTGTTTGTCCGAAAATATATATGAATGTAAAACAAAAGAGCAAAAAAACAGTAATTTAAATTGATTTTTCTTTTCATTCGCTTAAAATTGTCAAATAAAAAAGCAGTAGCCGGCACAATTGGTATTTGTTTTGAAGTAATGGTATTTGGTATTTTTGGCGCTAACGCTCTGGCTGTATTCGATGTGAACTGTTGCTAGATTCTGGCGCATCTCTCGCGCTGGTCACATTGGCCAGTCGGTGGTTGAAAGTAGAGTCAAGTGCAGTAGCGGGCGTCGTGTATTTAGCCGCTGCGTAAACAAAATTATTGTTAATAACATAAAAAGTCCTCAGCAGCCAACTAATATATTTACTTCATTCATAAAGAACGAAACGTTCGTGTGTGCTAAACTACTGTTATTCATACACAAACACAAGTGCAAATAAAAATTATTTTAAAAACTCAGCCAGCTTACGAAGCTGTGTTTGTTGGGCTCCCGCGAGTGTGTGTGCGTTTYATTGTTTATGTGTGTGCGTGCGTGCGTTTGTGTATGTGCGTCTCGGGCAGCGTAAAAGCGAAGTCGAAGATAGCCCGAATAACAGAGAAACAGAAGTTGTTGTATATCTGTCTGTCAACATATTTCGCAAGCCCAAAGTCAGCAATCTCCAGAGTGCTAAAGGGCGAAGCAGGTGAAAAAATTCAATTAAAAAGAAAACAACCGTTAAGCAGAGCTGTCGCAGCTCAATATTCAACGGTACTTTAGTGCTACCAAAGGGCAAAAGTGCAAAACTCGAACAAACTGTCACAGGTCAAAAGTGACGCATAGTCAACGCCAGCCAACAGCCAACAGCCAACAGCCAAGTAGCCAATTACAAAAATAAAACAAAAAAGGTAAACAAATTGCATTTCAAACGCCACACAAATTGTGTTTTTCTTTTTAACAAACGCTTCGCAAATTTGTTTCATTCATAAAAACACGATGCGATGCATCGCAACGTAGCAGCTGGCACCCTTCCCCGTCCTCCTTTGGGCGCTTTTGTCGAGGGGAGTGGGGCGTGAGGAAAAGCCTTTTACTCTTGTGCGAAAAAGGGGGCAAGCAGGAGGTAAAGTGTCCCACACACTCAACCTCTGCTCTCCTCACCTTCTCGCTCGATCTAAAATGTGTGTGACAGTCTACCTCCTCTCGGCTTTCCCTGTCTCCGCATATTAAGAGCTCGTTTACACATTTTTGTGGTTGTTTTGGTTTTTATTGTGCTTTATTTGTTTTCTGTTACTGTAAATCAAACGCTTGCAATTCATTCAATTCATTTGCATGCATCGCTAATTCCCCTTCTCTCGCACCATTTGCTTCCCCCTAATTTTATTTTTTGTTTTTAATCTATTTTTGAGGTATTTTGCAATTAAATGAGTTTTTTATGGCCATTTTTTTTTAGCTGTTGTCATTTGTTGTTTGCTTTAGTTTTTTTCTTAAATAATTTTTGTTTGCCTCCAGTGCATTAGATCAGATATGCTCAGAATTATAATTCAGGGCATGCAATGTTTTGAAATTTAAATTAAATTAATTTAAAATATTTAAATTAAAAGTTAAA